GCGCAACGGGATTTCTAATGATTTTTATTTAGTTCACTTCAAGTCTAGTGAACTAAACAACCTTAAGGCCTTAGAAAAAGCTAGCCTTATGCTCCATGTCCGAGTGAAGTGGGAACACTTCAGGAAGACTGGAGGAAATTTCCAAAACCTCACTCAGTGCCGCAAGTGCCAGGGTTGGGGCCACGGAACTAAAAATTGCTACATGCCAGCTAAATGCATGAATTGTGGTGATTTCTCTCACGCAAAGGACGACTGTCCTGTGAAGGAAGATCCTAAGAAATTTAAATGTTCAGATTGTGGTGAAAACCACAAATCCAATTTTTGGGAATGTAAGACTCGCAAAGCGATCCTACAATCTCGTTCTAAGCGACAGGTAGGAAACGCTCTGCTGTTAACAACGGTCAGCCAGGAACAAATTCTACATTCGTACCCGTAGGTACAAATATCACCTCTGCTTCAAATTTTTCATCTGTACCTACTCCCCTCGCTGCTAACAATGTTCAGCGAGTTAATGGAGCTACCTATGCTGCTATTGCAGCGGGTAGAAATCAAAATACTAACCAAAGTAATTCTAATGGAAATTTTGACAATTTTGACTTAGGAAGCATTACTGCCCCTAAAATGGAATTTTTACAGAATTCATTAATTGACATGATTTCTGATATGCTTAAATCTAACTCCATGTTTGATACTATTCAAACTGGAGTAAAATTTGCTAATAATATTGTCATGACTTTAAAATTCAGTAATGGATTTTAAAGCATTAAACATTTTAAATTTGAATGTTTGATCTCTTAAAGATAATGAAGACGAGCTATTTAACTTTTTGAGAGTTCATAACGTGCATATTGCCGTTATAACTGAAACGTTCCTTAAACTTGACCATAAGGTTAAGAAGGACTCAAATTATTTAATTTATAGAAATGATCGTCTTGATGGACCCTGTGGTGGCGTTGCCATCATTGTTCATAGACGAATCAAACATAAAATTCTTTCTTCATTTGAAACCAAAGTTTTTGAAACTTTGGGAGTTTCTGTCGAAACTAAATTTGGACAACTTACGTTTATAGCTGCCTATTTGCCATTCCAATGCGTAGGCCAGCAAAAGAATTTTCTCAAGGGTGTCCTCCAGAAACTTACCCGTCATAGGTCTAAATTCTTCATTATTGGTGATTTTAATGCAAAACACCGCTCATGGAATAATGCTCAAAGCAATTCCAATGGTAGTATTCTGTTTGATGATTGTTCTGCAGGTTATTACACTATTCAATATCCAAACAGCCCAACATGCTTTTCTTCTGCAAGAAATCCCTCCACTATTGATTTGGTCTTAACTGATTCATGTCAACTTTGTAGCCAATTGGTTACCCATGCTGACTTCGGTTCTGATCACCTTCCAGTAACTTTTGAAATATCCCAAGAAATAATTTGTAATCCCAACAGCTCTACTTTCAATTACCATAGAGCTGATTGGGAGCAGTATCGAACATTTATGGAATATAACTTCGATCCAAACATTCCTTTGCAAACCAAAGATGAAATTAATTATGCTCTTGAATCTCTGACTACTTCTATAGTTGAAGCAAGAGCTACCTCAATACCAAAATGCGAGGTTAAATTCGATTCAATTATAATAGACGACGATCTTCAGCTCTTGATCCGTCTTAAAAATGTCCGTAGGAGACAATATCAAAGAACACGCGATCCTGCCATGAAAGTTATCTGGCGGGATTTGCAAAAACAAATTAAAAAGCGATTCTCTGCCCTGAGGAACAAAACTTTTGAAAATAATGTTTCTAAATTAGACCCGAGTGCCAAACCCTTTTGGAAACTCACGAAGCTTGAAACTTGCTAAGCAATTCGAGAGTTCCCATAATTTCAGTTTGGGTCTTACTAGTCCTATTAAGAATCAGGTTGCTCGGGATTTTCGGAATATTTTCTCTCGGGAAAATATTTTTGATTATTCCTGGGGGACTGATTTGGACGAAGTAAGGTATATAACTAAAAAGTTTCAAAATATGAAAGCTCCAGGTGATGATGGAATTTTCTATATCCTCATCAAAAAACTCCCAGAGAGTACCTTGTCCTTCTTGGTAAAATTATTTAACAGATGTTTCCATTTGGCATACTTTCCTGATAAATGGAAAAATGCAAAAGTTGTTCCAATTTTGAAGCCGGATAAAAATCCAGCTGAAGCTTCTAGCTACCGTCCAATAAGTTTGCTTTCTTCAATAAGTAAACTTTTTAAAAGATAATTTTGAATAGAATGATACTTCACATCAATACGAACTCAATTTTTGCAGATGAGCAGTTTGGATTTCGCCATGGGCATTCATCAACTCTTAAGAGTTACCAATTTAATTCGTTCAAACAAATCTGAAGGCCACTCAACTGGAGTTGCTCTTCTAGACAAAGAAAAAGCATTCTTCCTTTTTGAAACCTAGTAGTAGTCACATAGTCACTATGAACGGAGTTCGAATTTCCTGGTCAAACCAAGTGAAATATCTTGGATTAATACTTGACCAAAAATTAACTTTTAAAGATCACATTGAGGGCATTCAAGCCAAATGTAACAAATATATAAAATGTTTGTATCCTCTTATAAACAGGAAATCCAAACTTTGCCTGACGAATAAACTTTTAATATTTAAACAAGTCTTTAGACCGGCCATGCTTTACGCTGTGCCAATATGGTCTTGTTGTTGCACTACCAGGAAAAAAGCACTTCAAAGGATTCAGAACAAAGTTCTGAAAATGATTTTGAAGTTGCCTCCCTGGTACAGTACTACCAAGGTACATAGAATTTCGAATGTTGAGACTTAAGAACAAATGTCCAACAAAATAATTAATAATTTCAGGCAAAAATCGTTGCAATCCTCAATTGCAACGATTAATTCCCTTTATACTTAGATAAGGTTTAGTTTTAAGATATCAATTGTTATACTGACATGCAGGTTTAAAAAACCTGTTTAAAATACTGAATAGCCAAGACAGGAACAATGTAAAAACACTTAGCTATATATCATAACAATTAAGGCTGGTAAGTTACTGCAGTAACTGGAGCACCTAGGTTAAAAATGAAATGTAATTTATTATGAATTTGGAACAAATAAAGAGTAAAAAAAAAAAAAAACGACGAAGGCTAATAAAGCAAGAGACAATACGGGGGCAACAACGAACCACTTTTCTGTCAAACGCGAACCAGCTTGTGATTGGCTCGAGATAGAGATAGAGATAAAATAGTAAGAATCCAGTTGTCTCCTCTTTCTTTTAGATGGAGCACAAAAAAATTACATCATCGACGAGAGGTTGCTATGACTTTCATTCAAGAATAAGTTAAAACTACTGAACGGTGAAAACCTGACGGTACTTTTAACTGAAAAATGAGTTATTTTTACTTCGCAGCGTGTTTTATTTAAATGAAATATATTTCAAATATTTCAAGATATTCTTCGTAAGTTATTTCAGTTAACACAATTTACAAAACTTAAATTTGAGTACATCTATTATTATTACTCAATAGATGAGTAAATTTGAAGTAACGCCTGTTTTATGATTCACTCAATGGCGGACCTCACATGATAGAACCCAACGTTGAGTTTTTTTTTTTAAACTTTACTTTGATTTTTTTTTTCTTACCGCGTGGGTTGAAGCGCAACTCTTTGCGTGAGATGGTAAAGTATAAAAACAGACACTGCTGGATACAATACCTATTGGAGGGTCACGAGTTTATACAAATATTCAAAGTGCCACGCGGTTTGCTCAAGACCGCAATTTCGGGTTCTTTTCCATTAATGTGCAGGGCTATAATGGTGTTCTTACTCGAAACGGTTATTTTCTCAGTGATTTGTCAATCGCACACAAATATAGTAAAGTTAACAGGCTGATTGCTGGGGTAGTTGAACAATTTCAATGATTTCCAACTTCACTTCAGTCCCAAATTTCAGCAAATAAATTGATCCATACGTAAGATTTTAGCATTCATGTTAATGTAAACCCATTTACTGATATGATTTGGCACAGTAAAATGACCACATCAACGTCCATAACTTTTTTACACCCCCAAAATATCGTGAAAAACACCATTTCGTGTGTTTATGCAAATACATTCCATTCTCCAGCAGATGCTTTTAGCAGCGCTCTCTGACATGGGTCCTTCGAAGGCTGAATATATCCAACCATAAAGGGTGGTGAAACAGCAACTCACGCTCCGTTCATATATGGTGATGATATGCGTATAACGTTGTAAAACATGCAAATGAAAAAAGGAACGGACCTACTTTCATCCGGTTTGTGTTACCCAATGTGGATAATGCCACTCAACAGATGCTGCCGCACGCTCCGGTATTAGTAAAAAACCCAAACAACTTTCATTGATATAATCAAAACGTACCTGCGACCTCCCAAGACATTAGTCTTGACCCCAGGGGGGGGGGGGGTGTTCGGAGAAGTCAAACCATTTAGCTAATTAATCGCGTCTAATCATTCCTCGCAGCCTACATCAACAGCATTCAACTGGTCCGGCTCGATGCCACCGGAATGAGCGACAATTTTCGATCCACTCCAGACAAGCACCACTCAACGGTTCCGCTGAAAAGGCGCAATTAATTCCACTTTCGGATGGGAAATGAACCCATCCATAAACTGCGCAACGGAAGGTCACCCTCATTTCCTATGCCTCCTGCACCTAATCCACCGAAAACAAACTCGGAATTCAAATAAACCTTCTTCGAGTGTACCCTTTTCCACTTTCCTCCATCTTTTATTTTTTTCAATTTCAACAATCCAATTTAGACCCCATAACTTCTTTATCCGTTTGAAGAATTATAATTACTCGAATGAACCCTTTTTTTCGACTGCAACCCGGACCGAACTCCGGGTGCAGACTTTTACCGAGGGCTTTGAACACCGCGCGGTTCAACGGCAAACGAACAAACCACTTTTGCGCTCTAACTTACTCCCACTGACTGTACGTTTTTACCCTTCCTTGTTACTTTCAGACATCCGAGAACGGGAACTGCACTACGTCCCTGCTGAGCTTTACGCCTACGAGGGATGACCACGGGCGAACCCTCACCTGCCGGGCCATCAACGAGCTGGTCAAACGGGGGACGAAGGAAACCTCGATCAAGCTGAACATTTTCTGTAAGTACCCAGCCACACACACACACATACAGAGCACAGAAGCCGACGGGCAATGAAATGGCAGCTAGGCCTCCTTTTATGGAAAGCGGGCGGTGAGAAAAGGTTAAATATTTACACAGAAACTTCTTCAATCCGAGTTTGTTTGGAAATGCGGGGGAAATGAGCGATGTGGAAAAAGGTGGCAAGAGTGGGTTTTCTGGGAAACTTTTTGTTTTCCAACAACTTTAAATGCGTTGGCTCTGATAGGCGCGATATTGAAAACATTTTTTTTTATGTAAAATTCAAATGAAATTTTTCGCAAGTCAATATTTACTAGTAATTATTCTATAATCTATAAATATATTAGGTACATCAATACAGCTGTGATGAGCCCGTTGTTTATCCGACCTTTTGCTACTGACACACTGCAAACCGATGACATTGTAGCAAACAGAATAACTGTATCGCTTCCTAATTTTGTTAATATTGTTAGGCAACGCTTGATTGCCGCACGGAAGGAAATGTCTCAATAAAGGATATCCAACTTCATCAAGGTGTACTGATTTTCCCATTCTGTTTGCTAACGCGAGGGACGTTTTTGTCATGGATAGCGGTTTGTTGATATTTGTTTCAGGGCTTGGATCAGGAAAAATTAGATTTATTATGGAGCTAATGGACATGTTGTTACACGTGAAGAAGGTCAGTCCAGCTATAAATGGCGCACTGGAGCTCAAGTGTATGCAGAGTTGTGGTAAATGTCACCGATTTCAACCAAACTTTGCTCAGATGCTTATTTCGACATTCTAAGTAAACGTTTTTTTTGGAATTTTCTCTAAAGTGCTCTATAATAACTGAAGAAAATTTCAGGGCTTTATCTTGAAAAACATTGAAAGCCGAGCGGTATTAAAAAAAAGCTAATTTTTGATTAATTTAGGTATCTTTCGATAATCTGCTTCTCTAGCTCTACTGTAATTTCAATAACACGAATCATATGTGTATACATATTGAATTTAACATAAAAAAGTCAAGGACACAAATAACTTGCTCGGCTGCGGAGCAATCCATATTCAAAGATGTAATTTTCAAAAATTTCAAAAACCTAGGGTTGTAGCCCAGAATGTTCCGAGCACTTGAGAGCTAAATCCAAAAATGCGAATTTTGAAATAAGCATCTGGTCAAAGTTTGGTTAAAATCGGTGAAATTGATCAAAACTCTGTATACACTTAAGCTGGAATGACCCATATGCTTAGTGAGGAAGACTTCTTTAGGGTAGCAATTAAATTTCCATTATGAGATTTCAGGTAATGTGTATTATGTGTAGTATGTTAACATAATACTCGTTTTAATGAAAATCGAGAACACCTCTGCACTTTCACGAGAAATCACTGGGATGTAGGATAAAAGGGTTGGGATTGCAGCTGGATTCGTTTTGGTAAGCGATATGCTGATTTGATGTCCAAACGATACAATAGCACGAAAGAGCGTGGGATCCAATCCACGTTCTTCTGCTCAGTTAGCGAAATCGGTTGCAACTAGGCAACCGAGCTCCTTATATCAGAAAATAATTACGAACAAGTTACCGTTCATCTTGTTGCTACTAGGTTTAGATCCTGGTGGCGACTTCTTCGATGACGATTACAACTGCTCTAATAAAAAAAAATACAATACCATCGATAATCCAAATGATAGAGCTATTTCACAAATGGTTTGGATGATATATCTATAAGAAATATAACCATTCAAATTTTATTAGGGTGCTCTTGAGAAGGATTTAAGATAAACTCGTCTTTCCTATAACTTGAACATTTTTTCTTTTACTTACTTGTTCCACTAACACCGCCGACGATGACAACAACTGCTCTTGAGAAGGATTTGGTATGGATTTTTTTTATAAACTCGTCTTTTCTAAAAGTCAAATATTACTTCTACGTACGTCCCTCCAACCGAATTTCATTACGCTTCAAAGCATGTTATAAAAGAAAACCGATTTAAAGTATAGCTCTATAATGTGAAGGAGCTTGGAATTGAGTGCATGATATTCTGTTCAGTAAGCAAAATCGGTCGCCACAAGGCCATCGGGCTCCTTACATCTCCAAACAATTATGACAACTACTCTTGAAAAGGATGTGTGATAGATTTTCGGTCAAGCCGTTTTTCATAAAACTCGAATATTATTTCTTTTGCGTGCTCGTGCCTCCAACAGAATTTATTTAATATTAAGAATAAATCCGATTCACACTCTATTCCTCTATAATTTTAAGGAGCTTGAGATTGCAAGTTTCCAATCGTTAGTCCGTTTTCGTTCCCTGGGTCTGCACCAACCCCCATAGTCTCACCGGAGCACCATTGTGCACAGTACTGTTTAAAATCCCACGCCGGCATCAGGACGTTGATAAACCTCTCCTAACATGGAGAACAGACATCGTTTTGAGCTGCAGGTCCATGGTGAACAGACGCTCGAAGACTGCACTCTCCGGAGAGAAGAGTCCCCCCTTCCCTGTCAGCATACGACCAAGGTCCCACCGGGGTTGGCTACCAGATCTTTCCTATGGTTACTCGTATCCCAGCCGACACTGCGGCGAGGTAGGGATAGGATTGACTGGAAAGAGGCTAAGGACCACGCCCACAGAGATGTTGGCGTCTATTTTATACCTGCAGATACGCGAAGTATCGATGGTACGCATTGTCCAGCTGTTTGCCAGCTTACTATCAGGAGAAGAACATTATATTATTTCTAAAACAACAGGATAGATTGCTCCATATCTCCAGAGAAGCTTTGCAACTTTTAGAAAGAAATCCTGCATTTTTAAAAAGAAAAGATCAGATGATTTCAGAGATATTCCGATAAACATCGGGAACATTCCCAACATACATTGAAAGCTGAATTAAAGCTTATTTAGGAAAATTTGGGATGCCAATTTTAAGTTGAGAGAAGTTTAATGGAACCATAGAGTAAATGTGGTTTCTTAAGAATAGTTAAAAGAACTGAAAATTTGTTTGGTTTTTTAAACATTGGTAGTGATTGAATCCCTTTATTAGGATTAAATAATCTTAGAAAAGTCGTGGAAACCACAAGAGCTTAGGAGACCTTTAGGGTACTTTAGATTTGTTCAGAGATCCTGAAACAAATCAAGAAATCTCAGACAACACATAGAAGTAGGACAAGAAATCTCATCAAAATCTAGGTAGTCTAAAAAAAAGTACAAGGAAAGTGACGCCGTACACTCGCGATGATCTCTCCAAAGTAACATTGCTAGTTTTTAACTATTTATGTTTGTATTACTTCTGCGTGAAGTTAACGATTTTACATTGTTGAAGATGCTTAGTTTCAAATAACAGACTTTAAGTGGTCATTTTATACGGGGAGATGAAAATATAGATTATCTCCTCAAGATTGTCAAGTCGACGATGACGATGACAGGAGCACAAGCAGTGGTAGAGGTAGCAATAGCTGCAGTTTCCAAACCTACGACTAGATGACTTCCTTCAGATAGCTTGAGTGCGGTACAATCGATAGAACTGTTTCAAACACATCATAGCTACCTGAGCAATTCGGTGATCATCTCTTTTTGCCAGTGTTGGCGGGGGGGGGGGGAGGGGATATACCCCTCAGCACCCCTCTCATGATATTTTCATGATATCGACACTGAGGACCAATGTTGAAAACGGAAACAATGGCTTCTTTCGTAAATTTCTCGTAGTTCCAAGTCAATCCATGTAAGCCACCAATTCTATCCGATAAGGGGACTCTCCTTCCACATAATCATCGTGGTGGTTTACTTTAGTGGTTTTGCCTATGTTTCGAGGGGTGTATCGATTAGCTTGGGACCGAAGAGAGTACCAGAGCTTAGCCAAAAAGTTGAGCACGTTTCTTCGGGACTCTGGTCTTAGAGTTACCTCTATGGTTATATGGTTGCATGTTCAGTAAGCATTGACGTTTTTAGATGACTTTGCTTCATGAAAAGCTTGACAGTATTTTATGGGATTTTCATAGGAGTAAAATGGTAAGGAAATGTCCACCATGTTTCACGAACAGACTGACGTTTGCTGATGGGAATTTACTATAGGAGTAAAGAGTTACAAAGTGGCCGAAAAGGCGAATTGTATATTATCAAGGTAATGCGGCCATCCTTTTTTGACTTGCTCTACAAGGGGATTATCAAAGGATTTTTTTAACAAGTATTTTCAACTCGGTCAAAAACGAATTAAAACCGTTACTAATCAGTAATATTTTTCACTGTGCTTTTAGTGAGTCAACTTATGGATGTTATGGTTACAGCATGAAATATTCTGTTGATGGATACTAACGTTAACATTTAAAAAAAAATAGATTTTTTTTGTTCTGAAAAAGCAAGAAATAAAACTAGGATTAATGTGCCAGTTTTTGGCTCTAGGAGTGCTCAAATTGACCCTATCTTAAACTCCCACATTCATCAGGTTAATATTACACATTTTTGTATTTTTTACATTCTTTTACGATACAAGGTTCGAACATATGTTTAATTTGAAAATATATTTCATATTTGATTTAGGCTCTAGGGCAAAAACTAGTAAACTAAACCCTACGAAAAATAGATCAAGACAATTACTTTCGTTTGAAAATAGTGCTAAACCTTGATAGGAAAAATAGTCGTTCCTGGTAACTTAGAGACCGCTAGCTGGGAGTCTTAGCCTGGAACCTTAGCCATAGTTGTCGAACAAAGTTTCTTAGGATCCTGTTTTGCCCCTCCTTTCCCCTTTAGAATAAACCTTTCTACGGTTTTTTAGCTTAATGTAATTGGAGTAGATCTTTGTGTTGGGGTTTTAACCAAAAATTTACAATTGGCCGCAGTTGAGAAACATATGGAGAGTTGAATTCTTGGGTATTACAGGTATCGAAGCGCTTGCGATGGTCACCTCAAAACACTGCATATTTTCAGCTTAAATCGGACCACTTGTTGCAAAATTATGCTGCTTCTCTCTGGACTTCAAAATGTATGCAGTAATCTACTAATTTGCGCAGTCATATGTTTCCTCTCACG